CCCGACTTAACAGTAGGATCCGATGGGAGAGCAGCACAACAGCCGAGAGGACACGCGACCCTTCTGAGAGGGGGCCACATCGCCCTCAACAGGCAGAGGACACCTGACGCGCACACACACACACACACAGGGAAAATCATTGCATGTGGCAGGATCCATCGACGAACCCAACTCGACTCCAGTCTGTGGAGACTACGGTCAGGAACCTGCTGCTTAGCGTGTCGCGAGTGCGGCCCCGGTGACACGCTGTGCCCTGCGAACAGATTAGAGGTCGAAAAATCCACCCCATGATGACCACCCCGACACGCGAAGTCGTTCAGTAAACGCGCCCAGAGAAGAAATCAAACAGGGCGGGGCTGCTTAGCAAACGCCCAGGGCCGTTTATGAAACGCCAGTTGTCCGGTCCGGGTGGTCTCCCCTCCCTTGACGGATAGCGTATCGCTCCGCCTCGAGTGGCGAGAGGCTCGGAAGGGCTCGGGACTCGGATGCCTGGATGCCTGCGGGCCAGGATACGGAGAGCCAGCGTGTCGCGCCGAGGCGCAGAGGGCCAGAACCGGCGGCGCGACACGCCATCCAACCTCGACCGTACAGCCGGGGCCCGTCCACTAGAAACCTCCCCTGAGAAACCCGACCCCTGAGACCCCCGGACGTCCCCGGATCTTCGGTGTGGGAGCGCTGTACGCTGCCCCTCACGGGCGTTGGGGGGGGGGGGGGGGGCACTCCCGCCCAAGGCCAGCGACGGAGCGCCTGCCCGTAGGGAGAACGACGAGGGAGGGGGGGGGAGGGAGGCTCGCGATCTGGCAGGAGGAGTCCAGCTCTGCCTCGCTGTACCTGCTGTTCCTCCTCCTCCGCCGCCTCCTCCTCATCCTCCCACTCCTCCCCCTCCTTCTCCTGCTCCTCCTCCTCCTCCTCCTGCTGCTCCTCCTGCTCCTGCTCCTGCTCCTGCTCCTGCTCCTGCTCCTGCTCCTCCTCCTCCTCCTCCTCCTCCTCCTCCTCCTCCTCCTCCTCCTCATCCTCCTCCCCATTCTCTCTCATCCCTCCCGGAGGACGACGGGGAGGGAGGGGATGGCGGAGGTAGCCAACATCAACACCAAATCGGGATCCGATCGGAACGGAATCGAAGCACTCGGCTCTGCTCCTCGCGACTCGGACGGATCTGACTCGAGATCGAATCGAATCGATGGGACCGAAATGGACCCTGGATGGAGGCAGGAAAGGGATGGAGGGGGCGAGGAGGGATGAAGGGGCGGGGGGGAACAGTTTGAAGAAGAAGCAACGGCACAAACAGACACTTTCGGGGGCCCGTGCTGATATACTCGACGCTGGACAACCCTGGCGGCACTTCCAGCGTGGCGGAGGGAGCCAGCGCCGATCCAAAAGTCGCGTCTCCAAACGCTCATGCTTATGCCGGCTTCCTTCTTCGAGACAGGGGGAGGGAGGGAAGGACGAGGGGTGGGAGGAGGACCAGGGGGGGGCACCCTGCTCGAGGAGGCCGAAGAGGGACTCGCCAGGAGTTGCCCAGGCATCTCGCACGATTAGACGAGCCTGGTGCCCCCAGAGCTCGATTCCGATTCCGATTCCTCCCTCCCTCCTCGAGGAGGGCGAGGAGGGAGGGAGGGAGGGAGGCAGGGCGCCTCGAATTCGATCCCGGGCGGGGCATCGACGGCCTCTCGCCCGGCCTGCGGCCACGTCCGGCTCCACACCGGGGGAGGTGGGGGGAGGGGCGGTCCCCTTCTCGGAGCCTCTGGGGGGGAAGAGGAGGGGAGGTGGAGGGAGGGGGAGATGGAGGGGAGATGGAGGGGAGATGGAGGGAGGGGAGATGGAGGGAGAGGGCGGGAGGGGAGATGGAGGGAGGAGGGATGGAGTGATGGAGGGGAGAGGCAGGGGGGCTGAACGAAGGATGGAAAGGATGGGCGTGAAGGGAGGTTGTTCGACCAGGGAGGAGGGAGGCGGGGAGGTGCGATCTCTCGACCAGCTCTGCGTCGGGGCTTCTAGTAATCAACATCCTGCCCCTCAGCCATCCCATCAGTCCGCTCCCACTCACCGTCCTTCTCCTCCTTCCTCCTCCTCCTCCTCATCATTCTCCTCTTACGCGAGCGTGGCAGCCACACGCGCACTCCGAGTCATCCTCCTCATCCTCATCCCCTTCGCGAGCGTGGTGGTTAACGAAGTAAACCCATTCTGGGCTGCCATGCATTCCATGGATCACCAGATGGTGAGGACCCACCGTGGGCGAGCGCTGCACGGATCATCGACTGGCGAGGGCTCCCTTCGTGCCGTAACACCTGGGTCCTGCAAAAGCCTTACCAGGTGGTCCCTGAAAGTCAATGGAGGTCCACCGAGGACTGCAGATGCCTCTGGAGAACATTTATGCTCGAGGACTGAGGATGAGGGGATGAGGGAGGGCCAGGAGGAGGAGGAGGAGGAGGAGGAGAAGGAGGAGGAAGAAGACGGCCGCCTCGACGGTTTTGTTCGGGCCGCTGGGATAGATCATACGGTC